GCCCCTTTGGCATTCATTTTCTCAAGCATCCTGGTGGCACAGTCCGCTTCAGGGCTGCAGGTTTGAGAGAGCAAGATGATGGACGGGGCATGGTAGTGAGGGGAAGCAAGGATGTGCTTGATGTCAGGGAGGCCCTGGACGACATGCTCAAAAAGATGGAGGAATGGGGCTGCCATTTTGTCGCGGCAGTTTATTGGGACAATGTCCAGTGATTATGTGGGCTTACGCCGGCTTTGGTGGCAGAAAAAGCCCTGCTTGGGGTGCACAGCTTGAAGGCTGGGAAGCAGCGCAGCAAAAACTGCTGAAGCAAATGCGTGCCAAGTTTGCAGAGCAACCTGCAAGCCAAGCCAACCGTTTGCACGCCGTGCGGAAGAGCAACGCAAAGCAAAAAGTCAAATTCTCTCTCGTGACCCTAGTTTTGTTTCACATGCTGGGACTTCCCCGTTCCCTACTTTGGTCAGGAGCACTTTACCATTACCACTTCAACTTCTATTCGATCCTTGCCACCATCAACATCTACCGGGTATGGGCCACCATACCTGTCTATGCATGTCCACTCTGGGCCGCCAGGTGAATGGTGAAGGCGATTGATTTGCCAAGTCGTCAATTGGGATCGACTTGAAGGAAAATCACGCACAACCTGTCCTTCCTCCTGAGTCTGTGGGGGCCCCGAGGTCGAATCATGTGACAGTGCCTGTCACCGAATTTTGGGAATCATGAGGAACTGGATTCCCTTTTGATGATTTGGCTGATGAGAAGATGTGGGAGTTGATGCCCAAGGAATTTCAGTGGGGAGGTTTTTAGGAGCAGAAAAACATTGTCGGCCTGTAGGCGATGGTGCTTTGTGATGCTAAGGAAGCAGGTTTACAACAGAGTGATGAGGGAGTTTTCTTATGTTTTCTTGCATGATATAGCTTGCATTTGTTTGAAATAATGATGTGGTGGATTGCTTCCCAAAAGAAACGGATACTTTTCTTGTGTCATGCTTGGCCCCACCCCAACCAAAAAGGGTCCGAATTCAGCAGAACCAAAAAGGAAACCAGATAACTCCTCGTGTATAGTACTGGCTGCACTCTCCTGAAGGGTATTGTCGAAGAGTGTTCTTTGCTAGAAGTTGGAGGTGTTCAACTTGTTCTGCATTTTGGTAGTGGCGAGATTGAAAGAGGACTCATGGGCAGCATAGCATGGACCGCAAGAATGTTGTTCAGGGATTAGCTGTTGCACCTTGTCTTTCATTCCGTGCCCGGTCAATCAGGCTCATCAACCAAAGCTAATCCACCCAGTGCCCGGGTGGTGTTGGATGTGTTTTTCTGATATTCTGGCCCAACTGAAACCACATTCAGCTGACCATGCTTCTTGGCTCAGCCCTTTTCAACGGTGAACTGAAGTGTATGGCTTCCAAGTGACAATGCTGCAGCCACGTGTGTCAGCAGCAACTTTGATTGCATGTGCTTTTGGATGGCAGTTGCGGTGTTTGGTGTTGAGCGCTTCGCGATTCCAGCACATTCTAAATGATCCTGGTCAGACCAGCGAGGCCTACGCAGGTCATGCTGGCCGTGCATTGTCTTTGGTGTGTTCAAAGCGTCGTGGAACGATTCTGAGCGACTTTTGCAAGAAGGAACTGGCGCGCCTAAATCCCGGCAGCAAAATTGAAGGACCTACCCCGGGGAATCGTTGCAATGGAGCCCGGAGGTCAGCTTCACAGGCGGAGTATGACTTTAGCATGGACGGTGCCAAAATTAGATGCAAAAGTGCGCAAATGTCATGGAAGAGAAGGGAGAATCGTTGGGTTGTAAACTTTCGTTCCGTCAAGCTGCCATGGCCAGGATTTCGCGACCAGGCCCCGTTCGACCATTTGTACCTAATACTGTTCAGCCCAGACAGCTTACACATCATCAAGCATGACCTTCGGACCGGAGTGTATTCAGTTGGCAAGTCAACAGGAAGCGAAGGTCATAGCATTCATGTCCGTGGTCCACCCGGACAGAAATGCTGGCAAACTGCACGATCGCAAATTCTGCAGAAGTTGCTGGCTCCAGGTCATGGTCACTGCAAACTCGTGGCTCACATAGATTTATCAGGTGCTGAGCTCAGGAGCTGGGTAGCTCAGCGGATACAAGAACTGACAAAACTTCAAGACCATGCATACAAAGCCGTGCCACTGAACCATATGTCACCACAGCTTCGTGGCTTGCGAATTGAGGAAATAGCCTTCGAAGTGGACCGCCAAGTTCTTCATCCAGGTTGTTCATATTCGCGAGCTTCGTCCAAAGTAGACTGGGTTCGTGGTGATGTCAGAGTAGAAGTCAAGCACGGGCAGATGCGTTTCAACCAAGGCCCAAGACGTTGGGAATGTTCTTTCTCGAACATCCAGTGTGCAAGCGGTGGAGTTCGTGCGTGTGATATGTTTGACGAACTGTGGCTTGCAATCTACAGTCCCTTTGGTATTCATATTCTGAAACATCCTGGTGGCAAAATCCGCTTCAGCCTCAACGGATTGAAAGAGCAAGCTGTTGGAAAACAACTGCATGTCCTGGGCGGCAGGAATGTGCTTGATGTCAGGAAGGCCCAGGACGAAATGCTCAAAAAGATGGAGGCATGGGGCTGCCAGCCTCTTGCAACAATTCTTTGGTGATGCAACGATGCACCGTTCCTGGTTCATTATATAGATGCCTTTTCTTTACCATGTGACCATGTGCGCGTTTGTGGTGCTCCAGGCCTGTCCCTATGATCTCGAGGTGGGCGGAGAAACAACTCATAGCGATGGCAGCGGCCAGATGCGAATGCGTAAACACTACGCCGTGCATGACCTGCAGCCTCTTGTCACATCTTGTGCAATGCGCGAAGACTGCTCAGGGCTTTGGCCACCTGATGCTTCTTTGCTTGAAGATCTCTGCACCAATCTCAGAAAAAGGACCGTTCACCTCCTGGTTTAGCAGTTTGCCTTCATCAATGTGGTGTTTGTTTGTTTTTTCCATTGTTAGCTTTTTCCATTGTTAGCAGGTATATGGCAGCCTTTGGGTCCTACACCCTCGTTTGATCCGTCTCTATCTCCAAGCATCCCGACGCGACCTCAGCCAAACAGGGTTCTCCTGCAGGTCCTTGAGGCTATGAGTTGCAAGATGGATTGTTGGATCGACTTGAAGGCCGGGCCATCACGGACGAATTGCCCTTCTACATGAGCCTCTTGGATCCAAAGTCAGGCCAGCCGCTGGGCAATTGGGAATAAATTGGTTTCATGACCACGGGTGGAAGCTCAAGCCGTGAGCCTTCCAAAGTCTGAGATGTACATAGATGTATTGTGCCTTCCCCGCACTGAAATGTAAACACCTGTTGATTCCAGGAGGTGGGTTGCACTTCCGATGGGTTTCCCGCGTTCTTTTCTTTTGGGAGGTTCCTATTTGGTGTAGGCATTCATTTGAGGCACCAATCAACTACTGTAAAGTGATCCCCAGGCTGTAGATGCCATGAAGGAGCAATCATGGCATTGCCATCAGGGGGCTGTTGGTGATCAAGGGCGCGTGACGCTCTCAAAGCACGATCCCACACCACCTGAATGAGTGTTCTTTGTTCCCGCCACCCAGCAAGAGGGGATGAGGGGTTTTCACACCAACCTTTGACCACAGAGCATTCCAAACCAGTGGGACTATTCCTGGCTTGGCAAGCCACCGATAGTCAACGCAAACCAGTCGCAACATGGAGTTCCATATAACTACATTTGCCGGCCCATGCCAGTGGCCTGGGGTGAGCCGAGGAAGCCTTTGCGTGGAACCTGGGAGCTGAACCAGGACGACCAGGCCCTGTGTGACAGTTTTCTCCATCGATGCTGTGGCATTTTCCCGTCATTGCATGTCCTTTCCCCTTTTGAAGCCAGACTAATTAATAAAGATATAATGGAAGGTTCACGCTTGGATGGGGTGCTCCGTTTTTACTCGCACTTCCGAAAGGCAAAGGTGCATAGGTTGAACTTCCAGGTTTCTGGCACCTAACTATGCAAAGGAGTTTTTCAATAATGGCCGCCAAAATTTCGATGCCAAGACGGGTTGACTTCAGGACTGGAGACGGTGGCTTTGGGCCGAGGTATGCGTTTTCCTTATTGGGGAGGGGCTGTGCCGTGGTCCCGCCATGAAAGAGGGGAGGTGTCATGAGGTGTCCAGGGAAAAGAAGTTGGGAGACTACTCTGGAGAAGCCATGAGCGGAGTTGAGAGGCATGAGTCATGAGCAACATTCCTTGCTATTAGCCAACCCTTTTGTTCGCACCTTAAACTTGTATTCCTTCCTTTCTTTCTCTCCACCGAAGTCCTGATTTCTTCCCACCCTCTTGAACCCGATCTCGACCTCACTTGTGGAGCATTTTCAGGTGTGCATCCCACAGCAGGTCCCACCAACCTGTGACGCGGTTTGGGTAGCAAAACGGGTTTTCCAGAACATGTTGTGCAAGATCAGCCAATGGCTACCTGCAGCGGAACTTGAGTAGATCTTGCCGGCAAACCACGGCCCAAGGCCCCAGCCACCCTTGTTTTTTTGTTGACGGGTATGGCAGTGCACTCCAAAAGCCATGCCAACGAGTCGCCAGAAGCGGGAGCAGCATGCCACCCGCAATGACGCCGCCCGTGGTCAGCAGGTAGTGAATCGCCTGGTGCGCGTCGTCGAGCGCGAGCAGCGCTTGGCGAACCCGCGCACCGGACACGGTCGCGGTCACGGCGAGGGCGAGGGGAGCGGTCCTAGCTATGCCAACTTCAATTCGCAACCGCAGGCTGGATGGAAGAAGGAGTGGAAGGCGGCACATGTACCACGTGCACCGCATCCACGGTTGGCCGTGGATTCCTTAGGGCCTGATTTGGCGTGGACGGATGATCAGAGTTGGCTCCAGGGATCAAAGAAGTGCTTTGAGTTGAGCAAAGGGGCCGTGGCGGCTGCCAAAGCGGCTGGATATGCAGGTGTCTTGTTCTAGCTTGGGCTGACATTTTGAGAGCGTTTGTGTTTGTAGGTGGTGTACGGTGGTGTTGATGCTGTAAGTTGATCAGTTTTTGTTCTAGCTACATATGGTACACTTTTGTGGCCAGGAACCAGCTGTAAGGTCCTGCCCCATCAAGCACATCTACCGTGGCAAGGCCTTCCAACATTTTGCCTCCTCTCCCAAGTCTGCCCCAGCAGGTGTCGAGAACTTCATTCGAGACATACTTGGCCGAGGTGTACGAGGCACTGCTCCGCGCGTTGGACGCGCGAGTGGAGCCCGACAAGACGGAAGTGCATCGCTACACGGAGGAGCTCGCCCAAGCGGTGCGCGCTCTCACGAAGCCGGCGCCGGCTTCGACCAAAGCGACGATCTGCGAAGCCATGGCGCCCGTCTGGGATCTGCGCTCGAACTGTGCCGCTCAAACGAGCGCTTTGGACCTGAGGACCTTGGCTACTGCAGTGGAAGCGTTGAAAAGGTCTGGTTCCAAGGAGGTGATCCAGGAAGCCAGCAACATCGAGACCTCATAGCTGAGCTATGTTAAGCCATGCTGAGCGGTTTCTGGTTGTTGGTTACCGCATCCCCAAGGCTGAGCGGTCAGCCGCTGGGCAGATGCCACAGGACGGCTGAGGACCTGGTGGTGGTCGGGATTCGAGACCATGTGCGCTGTACATAGCTGGAAGCCTCCCAAGAACGGGGACGTGGCAGTCCGTTCCACACATCGCCCATTTGGCCAGAAATGTGGAGGTCCGAGATGTTCCCAACCCTTCCAGATCCACTCAATGCTTATTTCTGACATGAAGCTATGCAAAGTTCTGTCAGCTTGACCAACATACATACATGTTCACTGAAACGAGTCCACTGCCTATAGGAGCTCATTCACGGGCTGGCTTATATACTCATGGGCCTTGTAGAAGCTAAAGGAATATGAAGCCTTTTCCAAGGGCCCCTGAACTCAGGCACATCTCTAGGAAAGCATCCAACAGTTCAATCCCAAACCACATTCATCACGCACCACTGCAAGTGCGGGTCGGTGCCAGTGCAGGATCTCGTGTGCATGAAAACCCTTTTTTTCCGGCTGCTTCCACAAAAAGGGACGCTTTCCCGGCGGGGAGGTTTTGGCGAACCTCACGCAGACGCAATGAGCCCGGCGAAGCGCGGATTCCGCGGAGCAGCGCGGATAGACATTCCGAGGTGCTGGGAAAATCGGGCACCTGCAGATTGCAGGGGTCTTCTTTGGAATGGCAAGGTTGGGTCTACAGGTCGAGAAAGGTTCTTAGAATTTCTTTAAAGATTTGGTAGTAGTAGATGTAGTCAATGTAGTAGTGTTTGGTCTATCTTTGGGAGGACCTTAGTGGGTGCAGGTTGTTAGCAGCTGGCGGGTTGCGGTGAGCCTCGCTTGACATCGTGGCACTGGCTTGGGAGCAAGTTGTCAAGTCGTGTATCGGGCAGGGTTCCATCCATATGATCCATGCTTACCCACGTTTAGTTCGGAATGGCTCCACTACTGCAGACATGAGCAGCTGGACAGGAGTGAAGGATTAAACCAATTGGCCCGGGTCAGAGCCTTGTGGATGGATTTCTTCATCCTCATTCCTTTTTCTGGGAGATATATTTTCCAGATTTCTTCAGCGCGGTGCATGTTGGAGAACCAAACACCACTTTGTGAGCCTCCAAGGAAGATCCTCTACTTGTGCTCTTGTGTTTCCCCTTTGTTTCCCGGTTGGTCCCGCAGTCCGGACACACCACCCGACGCCCCGCGATATCTGGCGATCCGAGCTGCTCAAAGTCGTGAAACGGTTCGTGAAAAGCACCAGGACTCAGGATGCACAGATGTTAGGACAAAGCCTGAAATTGAACGATGTGGATATATTGAAACTATTGAAGACATGCAGGTTTTTAGCCAAGCACCGGACTGCAACTGAATGGGACACGAAATTGGTTCAACTCAGCAGCTTGATCCCCAGATACTCTCTGCGATCCATCGCTCCACACCCGACACCCTAAGTAGCGCCCCTAGCTCGCCACACTCCTAAGCCAGAAACACCCTGACTCAGCCAAACAGATTTCACTGGACACGACTGACACGACCCCAAGAGACACCCTTGGCTCCTCATTTTTGTGACCGGGTGGACTTGGGCCCCCCGTGCCCTGTGGGCAAGATGGTGCGGGGCCTCAGCGTGAAAGCTTGGCCGTGCACCTCTCCAGGAGCCAGGTCGGACCATTTGCACAGAGGTATTTGAGGTCAGCTCCGGTTTTCATTTCTTTTCAGCAAGACGGTTGAGGGTGGCTGCCATTTTTCCAGTTCCCACTTGCCATGTCAGGCACCGTCGTGCGAGGTTGTTCGATTGGTTGAGCCTGAGGTCTGGTTCAAGTGGGTTTTTTTTCCTGTTATGTTTTTCTGGTTGTTTCGCAGCTGTTCGGGAAAAATGAGGGAATCAACCAATGAATCCACTAATGGATCTCTGTGTGGGATCAGGCTTAAGCTCAAGCAAAGAGATCGGTACGAACTGAAAGTTTGCTCGCGTGCTGTTCCAATCCACTTGCACGCACGCTTTTGTGCATGTTCAAACCTGCAGATTTTGTTTGTTCCAACTTCATGCAAAAGGTTTGGATACGGAGTGGCCCCAAGCCTCAAAATCGATCAGATTTTGCAGTTTGGGATTTCCAAAAGCCTT